GTCTGGGAGCCCTGCCAGCCCTCCTCCTGCCCGGCCTGTGCGCTGCTTCCCCACGGTGAGTGGGGCCCCACGTGTGGGGGATGTCGGGATGGCTGTGGCACCGGCTCACCCCGCCCTCTCCCCGCAGAGCATCGCGGTGCAGTTGCCCACAGAGCGCTTGCCCCCTGCCAGTGGCTTCTCCTCCCCGGTGGACAGGTGAGGCTGTGGGGCTGGGCGGGGGCTGGATGGGGCGTGTGGCACCTGGGAATGGCCAGGCCGACGCTCCAGCGCTGGGGCTTCCTGCAGCTACACCTCAGATGTGGCGTCGGGCATGAGCGATGGCTGCGAGGGGCTCTCGGCCAGCGAGCAGAGCTCCAAGCTGCCGCCCAAGCGAGCCTCGGGGAAGCTGCTGCGGCGCCGAGCCCGGTCCAGGCTGCGCATAACCAACGTGAGTGCCGTGGGTGCCAGGCGGGTGCCAGGCAGGCGCTCCCAGGCTGAGCCAGCCCTGCCACCCGCAGATCTCCGACAAGAGCGACCGGGTGGTGGAGTGCCAGCTGCAGACCTACAACAACAAAATGGTGACCTTCAAGTTTGACCTGGATGGGGACAACCCGGAGGAAATCGCAGCTGTCATGGTGAGTGCGGGGTGAGGGTGAGGGCCTGCCTGGCTGTGCCAGCTGCTGACCAGCCCCCCTCTGCCCCCAGGTCCACAATGAGTTCATCCTCAAGTCAGAGCGGGATGGCTTCATCAGCCGCATCCGGGACATCATCCACCGCGTGGAGACCCTGCTGCGCAAGGATGGGCGCGGCGGCGCCGAGCTGCCCAGGAGCCCCGAGGCTGAGGGTGGCGTGGGCAGCCCCGTGAGTGCCAGCCCGGCCCTGCCAGTGCTGGCAAAGCTGCTGATGCTGAGTGTGGCTGGGGGTGCTGCCTGGTCCCAGAGAGCCCTGGGGGAGGGGGCTGGCGTACAGGGTCCTCCTGTGGTCACTTGCCCACTGCTGTGACAAGTGGTGGTGGTCCCCTGCCTGGCACAGCCTCCAGCTCTTGTCTCCACAGGTGGTGGGGCCAGGGTGGGGCTTTGCACAGCTTGGCCGGGGCCTCTGCCCCAGTGTTGGGCTTAGCTCCTCCTCCTTGCAGGTGGACCTGCAGCTGCAGGGGCTCTCGCGCTCCATCTCCTCATCCTCGCTCAGTGGTATGTCTGTGCCCCTGCGTGGGCCCGTCTCGTCCCTACCAAGCCCCATACATGGCAGGGGACGGCCTCAGCCAAGCCTGGGGGGTCTCACAGGGCACGTCCTGCCCTGGCTGAGCCTGGTTGTCACCCTTGTGCTGCAGACCTGGGCTGCACCAGTCCCAGACTCTCTGAGCAGTCTCCTGTCCTGCCGTCACTGAGCCGCTCCCCATCAGAGACCAAGCTGGCTGGTCCCGCAGAGGCTCCGGCAGCCCCGGCACTGCTGGAGGCCCCTACAGGTATCGGCACTGGCATGGCTGGGCATGTCCAGCACACCGGGGCTGCCAGCTCGAGGCTCTGGGGTGCCTGGGCTGGGGAGGAGGTGGCACTTGGGAGCTGCTCCTGATGCTCCTCTCTCTGCAGGCTCCGTGCAGACCTGGCCCCTCTTCTCGATGGCTCCCTCCTGGCTCCCGTCGTCACCGGTGTTCCCACAGACCCCCACAAGGACCCCAGAGGGGCCTGTCCCAACGGCCCTGCCCCAAGCCCTCGTGTCCCCACAGTCTCTCCCCACGTCCCCTGTCCCCTCTGAGCTCAGCAGCCCCCTGAGCCCCGCAATGACCAGCACACCCTGGTCCCCCACCACCCCACTCCTGTCCCTGGCCAACGTCTTCTCCTTGGCAGTGATGAGCGTGGCCCAAACGCTGCTGCCCACTGTCTCCCCCATCTCCAGCTCGGGTGGGCACCTCTACCCCCCACTGATGCCACGGCCACAGAGTCTTGCCCTGGGGGGCCCACACTTTGTCTACCCCGACCCCACCAGCACAGTCAAGCCAGTCCTGGCTGGCAGTGGGATCCTGGAGTCACCAGGGGCTGATGTCTCCCCTGCTGGGGGGCCCATATCCTTCCCCTCCCCAGCACCAGCCCCAGTGTGCCCCACAGACAGCGAGGCCACGGGTAGTCCCCCACCACCACTGAGCTCATCTACGCCAGGGAGCCCAGAGGGCAGCACGGTGAGTGTGTGGCTGCAAAGGTTCCCCAAGGCTGCTTGAGGTGAAGCTCCTGGGGGCTGGGTGGTCGCTGCAGGGGAACAGGAAGCCTCGTGGCTTGTGGAGCCACTTGGATACAGGGAGGACTGAGTGGGTCCCAGGGCACAGGAGCAGCACTGGGGGAACAGGAGATGTGGGGGGACGTGGGGTGGGGAAGCTGATGGTGCTCAGGTCCCGCAGGTGCCACCCGGTGTCCCCAAGCCCAGCCATTCACTCATCGTGTCGGAGTCGCCGGACCCCGCCGTGACCATGGCCCGGCTCTCACCCATCAACGAAGGTGAGGTGGGGCAGGGCTGGGGCTGCACTGAGGCCGTGCCCGTGCTGGGGCACATGATGTTCCCACCAGCCCACGAGCCCTGAACCCCACCAGCTGCCCCTGTGCCCAGCAGAAGCCAAGCCCCAGATGCTGGGCCGGTTCCAGGTGATAACAACCAAGGACCTGGCTGTGCCCTCCCCCGTGCCAGATGGGAGCAGCAGCGACGGGGAGCAGCAAGTGGGGCCACCAGTGAGTGCCTCCCCACCTCCCACGGCCCCCGACACGGGCCACAGCTCAAGCAATGACTCGGATGCGGTGCTGGAGGTAGCGCAGCAGGAAGCCAAGGTTGAGGAGGCACCGGCCAAGGAGGGCACGGTGCCAGCGGCACCGCTGGAGAGTGACCAGGAAGGCCTCGGGGAGGAGGGCACAGACAGCACCCCCCAGGCTGTGCTGAGCCAGGTGTGGCTGAGCTACCCCCGCAGCCTGACCTACGTGAGCAGTGACGACACCGAGAGCGAGGACGAGGAGATCTGGGAGGAGCTGCAGAACCTGCGCCAGAAGTGAGCAGGAGGGTGGGATGCATCCCAGGAGGTTGATGCGGGGCCTGCAGGAGGGCCATGCCCCTTCCCCCAAGACCCTGCTGCCACGTGCCATGCCCTCCTCCGCAGGCACCTGGCCGAGGTGCAGCTGCTGCAGAGCGCCCAGAAGAAGGAGATCGAGGAGCTGTACCTGCGGATGGGGAAGCAGCCGCCGCTGGGCATCGTCTCCCCCGCCGCGATGCTCTCCAGCCGCCAGCGCCGCCTCTCCAAGGGCAGCTTCAACCCCTCCCGCCGCAACAGCCTGCAGCGCCTGGAGCTGGCACAGCCCGCAGGTGACGGCCCCGCTCCCGCTCCCCACAGCAGCCCCATGCTGGGTGGGGTCTGTGGGGTGGGTGTTGCGGGGTTGCTGCCCCCACTCAGGGCCGCTGTCCCCGCAGGCATCATGCGCCGTAACTCGCTGAGCGGCAGCAGCACCGGCTCGCAGGAGCAGCGGCTCAGCAAGGGCGTGACCTTCGCCGACGACCTCGGCCGCGTGGTAGGGGCGAGGGTGAGGGTAAGGGGCGAGGGGTGATCCTGGGACGCTCCTGGCTCATATGGTCACCTCTCTCCACAGTAGCCAGCTGGCCAGCAGTGACTTCATGAACTACCTCATCCAAGTGCCTGAGGCCCCAGGGCAGAGCCCGTGCAGCCCCTGGACATCAGTGCCAGCCCCGGGCAACCCGGACCTGTGGTGGGCACCCTGTGGGCTCTGCAGGGGCAGCACAGCTGGCTGGGGGCAAGTCTGTCCCACCTCCAACCCTGTGCCCTCCCCGCTGTCCCCAGCCCCTTTGCTGGAGGACGTGTGCCAGGTGTCCCCACCTCTTGTGGCTTTACTGAGCTGAGCCCACCCTGGAGCCCCTGCTCGCCCCAGCCCCGCACCACGCCGACCTCCATCCCCCTCCCCGCGTGGGGATGAGCCCCCCACCTGCCCTGCGGGGCGGGATGAGCTCCCCACGGCCCTGTCACAGGATGGAGCTGCAGGATCCAGGAGCACTTTGTTAAGAACTGGTGTGCAGAAGGCGTTTTCATAAACGTGGATTGAATACAAATGGAGTGTGTGTGTGTCTGTGTGTCTGCTGGGCAGGACCTGTGGCCGCTGGCCTCGCTGCGCCACAACAAAGAGCAGAACAGAAAATCCCACCCCAGCAGCCCCCTGGGGGTGAGATCCTGAGCCGGGCTCTTCCCAGCAGCTGCTCCACAGGCAGTCACACAGTTTCCAGTCAAAGGGTTTATTGGGAGGAGTGGTGGGACCTGGGCACCCCTGTCGTTCCCACGGGTGCGGTCCCAGCAAAGGCCCCGGGGTGGGGGCTGCCTGCAGGGAGCCCCCGGGACCTTCCCCTGAGCACGGGGCAGGCCCGAACCCCCGGGGCACGGCTGTCCCGGGCTCGAGGCCCGTCCAGCCCCGCGGGGGCGACAGCTCAGTCACGGGCCGGGCCGGGCCGGGCCGGGCCGGGCGTTCCGCGCTCAGCTCGCCGCGCCCTCGGCCCGAGCCCGGGCCCGCGCCCGCGCCGCCTCCGCCTCCTGCTCCAGCTCGTCCAGGAACCGCTCCTGAGACACCGAGTAGAAGGTGTACCCGTCTGCGGGAGGGGTCAAGGAAAAGCAGCGGGCGCGGTCCCGGCTCCCCAAACCCCGCCCCGGCCCTGCCCGGCCCCGGAGGATACAGATACCGAGGGTCACCGCGCCGATGCCGAGCGCCAGCAGCGTGTTGCGGCCGCGGAGCCGGCGCTGCAGGGCGCGCTGGCGCTGGGCGTGCTCCACCTGCGCCATGAGGCGGCGCTGCTCGGGGCTCAGCCCCGGCTCGCGGGCCGGGTCGATGCGCCTCGCGAACTCCGACTCCGCCGCCGCCGCCGCCGCCGCGCCCGGTCCCCCGGCGCCGCCATCTTCTCCCCGCAGTGACGGTACAGCCGCTGATTGGCGGAGCGCGGGTCACGAGGCGCCACCGGGCCCGTCCCCGAGCCCGCCCCGGCCCCGGGCGCGGCGTCACCGGCGGGCCGGGCCCGCCCAGCGGTGCCTCCGGGGCGGCCGCCGGGGCTCTGTAGGGCTGGTGGAACCGCTGTCGTCGTTGTGGCTTCGCCCCCCGACCCGCTGAATGAAATGGGGTCCCCCGTGCCCGCGGGGCCCTACGGCCGTGACCCAGGCCCCGTGTTCAGCGGGGTCACTCCCGAAATCATCGAGGACGCGCTGATCCACTTGGCCACGGAGAACGAGCAGTACCTGAGCGAGCTGCCGGAGCACGCCGGGAGCTTCAAGGACACGCGGATCGTGGGTGAGACGGACGTGGCCGCAGCGGACCCCGGGGTGGGGTCACAGCGGTGCTTCAGGAGGCTGAACCGGGGACTGCTGTGCTCTTTGCAGAATTTATATTCCTTTTGTCCGAAAAATGGCACTTGGACCAATCGACGAGGTACCAAGCAGTCGAGTTGCTTGAAAGGTAACAAGAGCCCGGAACGCTTGGTGTGTTTCTCGTTCTCTGGCTGCGCTGCCCACGCTCTGTCCTGCCCTGTCCTCTCACCCAAGCCACACACGCTGTCTGTGTGTGTCGAGTGCTCTGTCTCTCCATCCATTTAATCCGCATTACCAGCTCTGTGTATACTCTGAATATATGTGGAATTGCCTCTGTTCCTTCTTCTCAGCAAAAAGACAACCGTGCTCTGAGCAACTGTGGGTTTTGCAGGTTTATGATCAAGCAGGTAGAGCAGATGTGGGAGTCCTCCAGTGGGAGTGTTAAAGGTGGTGCCCAAGGACAAGGGAGCACCTGGAGCTCTGTGAGGGATGAGATAGTCAACACCTTTGTCCTGCGACTGGTGTCGTGCGTTCAGCTCGCGAGCAAACTCTCCCTGCACTATAGCGTAAGCCAGCTCGGCCTGTCCTTGCTTTAGCAGTGGGGTTCAATCTGCACTGTGCTCTTCTCTCTTAAAAATAGATTTTTTTCTCTCTGAAAGACAATAATGAAACGCGAAAGACGTGACGTTCCCTCCAGGGCAGGCAAATTGCCGCTTGCCCAGTGGCGATTTGTGCCCAGTGCTGGGGAAAAAAGGGGCAGGAAACGCTTAGCCCCCTGGTTGTCAAAAATCGTGTGGCTGCAGGGGTTCACACCTGCCTGGGGATGGTTTATGGAGTTGAGGAAAACTGCGGGAAAGGTCCAGGCTGGGTTTCTCACGCCAGCTCAAAGGGCAGGCAGGTGAGTCGCAGCCTCGCGCTCAGTGGGAGGAGGGAGGCGAGGGAGCACTTTGTTCCTGCCAAGGGCCTTACTGCCTGGAAGATGCCTTTTCTCTTTTCTCCTCTTCAGAGAGTGACCAGTGACACAGCTTTAAAATTTCTGCAGTCCTTGAAATACTCCTACACTAAACAGGAGTTGCTGGAGTCAGAGCTTGCTGTTTTAAACACTCTGCACTTCCACATCAACGTGTCCAATCCGCTGGCCTACGTGGAATTGCTTCTGGAGGTTCTAGGTGAGAATATCAATCAAAGAGAATGGGAAGGAAGCTTTTTAAAAAGGTGATAGAGCTGGTGCTGATCTGAACCAAAACATCTCACTATTAGAGATTTTTGCACGTGGAACTGTTCAGATCGTCCAGGGTTTCGCTTTTCAGTGAAATGTTGGGCTGATGGTGTGATCTCTGCCAGGACACAATGGGTGCTTGCTTCCTGCTAAACCCTTGCACCAAATGTGTGTGCAGCTGCTGGACTTCTGCTACCTGACCAGAGAGACCATCTACGACACTTTGCTGAAGATCGCCATCGAGAACTCCACGCCCAACAAGCTGCAGGTGTAAGGGCCTTACCTGACCATGACTTAAAAAACCCTTTGAAATTAAAACCCTAAGGAAAAGCTAATGGATAGCAGCGTAATTCCCATGGTGCCATTTTTGGGGACATCTTTCTAAAAAAAAAAAAAAACCAATTAATTTGGGGGGCTTTCAGCGTTGTTTCTTTAATACAGCAGTTCACGGCAACGTGCTTCTCTCACAGCTGCTTCAGGGGCAAGGAAAGTGTTTTAGTTGGTCATGCAAGTCTAGCCATGCACTATCAATTCCAGCTCCCAGGGTCAGGCCTGGGTTGGCCTGAATAAGCCAGCGTGTCCTGGGCTGTGGCAACTGCAGCAGCAGGTGCTTTTGAGCTGTGAAGCAGCACTTCTACACCTGAACACACTTCTCCTTCTGCAGGGCCAAGTTTCTGACAGTGAAGGAAGATTTCATGCTCTTGGCTGTTGGAATCATCAGCACAGGCGTGTTCATCCTGAGCCCTGGGCACTGGGATCAGGTACAGTCGCTGCTGGAGGTGTTGGCTCTACAGGAACACGATGCCAGGGTGGTTTATCTGTTTCGGCACAGCAGGGAGATAGGTGGGGCTGTGCTGGCAGTGGCACGAGGGAGGGAACATCTCAGGGGTTTTAGCAGGAAGCTCCTGAGCCTCAGGAGGCCGTGGTGTGGTGCAGCATGTGCTGCCACTGGTGCATGTCCTTGCCTTCAGTGCTTCACAGCCAGGAAGCGTTTTGCTGGCAGGTAGAGGTGCAATCCCGTGGGACAACTCCCTGTGAAACGTGCCCAGGGAGCAGTTACTCTTGCTGGGCTGTTAACTCACGGCCTTTAGGCTCTCTTCTCTTTTTCTGCTTGCAGGTTGTGGAGCATTTGAACTGTATCACTGGCATTACTCCACAGAGCATCCTGGAGTTCTCGTACGCGGTGCTGAGGCGCATCCTGGGCAGCAGCACCGTGCCCAGGCAGCACCAGGGGGGCTGTGGAGCCAAAGCTCCCAAGGGCAGGGTTCTGCCCCTGAAATAGAACCTCCTTGTCTGGAACTGTGCTGTGCTGTCTTCACCTGCTGCTTTTCTAAAATCCCTGTCTCCAGCTGCCTGTGACTGTTTCCTCTCCACCAGCACTTGGAGCACTTTTGCTCTTGCCCTACCACAGCCAGTAACGACCAGCATTGTGACGAGGACAGAATCCTGTGAGTGTCAGGGTTTGTGCTGTGCCAGGCAGTGCTGAAGGAAAGCACTCAAGAGTGAGGAACAGTTTTAGTCTTTCCTCAGTGCAGCCCTGTGCAGGAAGAGGGTGCAGGAGGGATTACAAACTGTTTGAAGTGGTATCAGACCTTGTTAAGCTCAGTGGTACAAAGAAGTGCTGATGTGACTTGTAAAATACTTTATTTCACAATGTAGTTACTCTTTAATGACCAGGCAGAGTTCTGGGAGTTTTTCCATGTTATTCCCTGTGTTTGTAACATTGGCCATAAACCCCAAAAGTACCAGTTTAGCATCCATTTAATAGCTGAGTTTATTCTGTTCAACTCAACGATACAACTTTGCATATTGCTTTTCTATAAACTACTTGCAATAATGGCATTTTAAATAAAGTGTCTTGTGGATTTTTGGTATTGTAAACATTTTGTACTGGTTAATATTAAGAGACATCTTAACTTGCTTTTCTCCAATGTTAATGCAGACACCCAGAGCTGCCAGGGCAAATTATGACCACGGTTACTTGTTATAGAATTGGGATGAGACCCAGGCAAGGCCCCATTTCAGGTTAGTTAACATGAATTTTAGTGCTTTTGTCCATTGCTCCTCAGAGTTAAATTGTGTTTTAATTGAGTAAGAGCCACCACTGCCACCTGTGTCTTCAATCTTTCCTTTCTCCACGTCCATCCTGTATCACACACAAGGTTTTATTAGTGCATTCCTCCTGCAAACACTTAATTTCACTATGACATCAAGCACTAAATTTTCAATCTGACATTCATACCATCCTGTAAGAATACTTTGTTTTTAAAGGGAATCTAACAAGCCTCAGGTCTTCACTTGAGAGGCTGGCTTTAAATTTCAATTAAACTAGTAAGTGCACATGACTCCAGAAAGCCAGGACTGAAACACCAAGCAGTGCTGGGGACAGCACACAGGGGTTAATTTGACAGTTATGAGGCAACACTCACCTGTAAGGCAAACAAAACCGAGTTTCACCTTTCTCCACCTCCTCTTTAAACTGCTGCACACAGTCCAGGAATGCCACCATGGCGTGGTCAAACTTATTGTCCCAGAAGAACCTCAGGCCTCCAGAGCAGTACAAGGGGAGCTCCTGGAGAAGAGGCACAGAGTGTGACTTGTTTTGTCTCAGTGCCTACCACGCGTTCCTGACCACCACCAATCCCAAATCACTCCATCCACCTGCCAAGCACCCCAAATCACACTAAGATCTGGCACTCAAGGTCAGCATCCCCTGATTTGTGCAGGATCTCTCACCTTGGATTTATCCGTGAGGGACTCCAGATACGAGTGGTTGCCATAGGGGACAAGACGGTACCTGAAAGGAGACAGGATTCACAGGCACCTCAGTCTGCCTTGCCTTTCTCTGGGCTGTAAAGGGACCTGTGTGTGGTTCTGCGTGTACCTCTGAAACTTCAGGCCCATTTTGTTGGCCAGGGCGTGCAGCAGCAGCACTGTCTGGCCCCAGGCAGCGTTGATCTCATTCCACTCCACGGGAACGCTGGGGAGGCGGCCAAGCCTGAAGTTGTTTATTGTGCCAAACTGCCCGCTGTGCCTGCGATAAGAGGGATTATAAATAAGTGTGCTGGGCTGGGAACAGCTCCCGGCACAAGAACCAAACAGGGGCCGTGTCCCAACAGCACGGCACGCACAGTGCCAGCCACACACATGACAAGGTTCCTGTTGAATGCAGTGTGACTGGAACAGCCCACACTGCAGCTTCCAAGCAAATGGACACGATGTCCCAGTGCCTACGTTACCAGATATGAAAGGTGGCGTTGAACACGTTGGTTTTCTTTAATTTATCCAACTGCATCTGGGCGTAGCGCATTTGGTTGTCCACGCTTTTCAGCTCGTCATCCAGCTCCAGCTGCTGCCTCTTGAACTCACAGTATTCCTTCTGATACCTTAGAGCAAAAGCAAGACAAGAAGCGCTAAGTGCCACCTTTTTACATCAGAGGGATGGCTCTCTGGGTCAGTTTGGTCTGGCCATCTTCCCTTCTGCAGAGAACAAGCCACTGGGCACATTTACAGGTTTCTCACATTACAACCTCATTTCTTTGTTGCCTCCAACCCCCATCACAAGCTGCAGGTACAGTTCACTCACTGAGCCTCCTCTTGCTCCAGCCTCTCAGCCTCTGCCCTGACTCTCTCGAAGTCCTCAGCTACAATCTTGCGGTTCTTCTCCACGTCCTCCAGCTCCTGAATCAGCTGCTCTTCCTCCAGCGCCAGCTCTTTAAGTTCTGTCTGCAGCTTCTCCTTATCGTCCTCGTTCATCTGTTCCAGTATCTCCAGACATCTCCTAAAGGACAGCAAACAGGATTACCAAAATAGGGATCCTGGGAAGTGCCCCACTGCCAGTCCTCACTTCCTGCACCTCTTGCCAACCCGACCTCTCTGTGCTGATCCCGCCTCAAGCTGCACAGGGGTCACCTCTGGATCACTCACTTGTAGTTCTGGCACTCGTTCTCCGTGATGTTGAGCTGCGTGTCCAGCTGGTCCAGCAGGGTGTCTGTGCACTCCTCGCACAGGGGGTGATCCACGTCTGTCTGCCCAGACATGATGTCGAAGAGGTCGCCGGTGACCTGCAGGAAGAGCTCACCTGAGTGCAGGTGGGGCCACAGGCAGCTGCCTGCTGGCTCTCAGCGGCCCCAGTGAGCAAAGTCCTCTTTGGGGGCCAAATATCGATTAATACAACCCAGCTTTACTGAACTACTCACCAACCAAGCCCCCCTGGAAGGCCAGTGCTTCGCGGAACTCTGCAGTTCAGTTTTGCAGGGCATCCAGCAAAACTGACGCTGCATTCACAAGCACCCGAATTTACCAGCTCGAGCCCCACTTGCCTTCAGCCTCCGGCTGAGGTTCTCCATGGTGCCGCCATCCGACGCCTCCCCGATCAGGGTGAAGCTGTTGGCGCTCTCCGTCGACATCATTCTTGGAAAGAACGTTACCAAGGTGAGCGCCGAGGGGCACGGGGAGGCAGCCCCAGTGCCAGACCCGGACTTGGGGCCGGGCCAGGATGGGGGGGGAGCACACAGGGGGAGCAGCCCATGTTGTTTTGGGGGCTCTACCGGGCCTGACCCAGAGCTGAGCAGCAGCCCCCCGAGTGCTGAGCGGTTCTGCGTGTTCGAACTGCCGAGCAGCCCGAGGGCCACGGGGGTCCCAAGGGGGAGGCTCTAAGGTCCGGCGGGCTCCGAGCCGGGCCGGGAGCGCGGTGGCAGCGGCCGTACCTGGCTGGAGGGATGAACCTCCTGGACACGCCATCCTGCCGGTTCTCCGCGAAAGCCTCCTGGGGGCAAAGGGGGCACCGTCACCGGGGGGAAGGGGGGATGCCCGGCGGAGCCGCCGCCACCGCCGCGTCCCCGATTCCTCCCTACCTCCGTCAGGGCGCTCTCCTCTTCGCGCGCGTCCCCGGGCCGGGCAGGGGCGGCGGTCACCAGCGGGGCTGCGGGAGAGGACGCATCAACCGGGCCCGCGCCTGGGCCTCACCCCGGCCCTCATTCCCACCCCCGCCCGCCCCGCGGTGGTACCGGTGAGCTCCTGGATGGTGAGGCGGTCGAGGACCTTGAAGGACGTGTCGAGCTTGAGGGGCTGCAGGCAGCGCTGGCACACGAAGCTGACGTGCGCGGTGCCGGTGGTGCCGCCGGTGGTGCCGGTGCCGGTGCCGCCGGTGCCGCCGCCGCCCGCCCGCGCGGCCTCCATCGCGCCGCCCGGCGCGCGCGCCCCGCCATCGCCGCGCGACGGACGTGACGCGCGATGCGCGCTCCCGGCAGGAGGGGCGAGGGTGTGCGCGCTCCCGCCCGCCCCCGCGTGACAAACCTCCCGCCCCGCGAGCGCGCGACCGCGCGCTCGCAGAGCGAGGGTTTGTCACGCGGGGGCGGGCGGAGCGCGCGCGGCTCGCGGCACCGGCGGGCGCGCGGCACCGGCGGGCGGGAGCGCGGGCGCGCGCGGCGTGTGAGGTCACTTCCGCCGTGTGGGCCCCGCGGTTGTGGGGGAACCGGACCCGCCATGGCCTCGCTGCTCAAGGTGGACCCGGAGGTGAAGCTCAAGGTGCGCCCGTTCCCCCCTTCCCCGCTCTCGCCTTGGAGGGGATGGGGGTGGTGTTGTTTGCCGGGGCTCTTCCCGGGAGGTCCCGGGTGGCGGCTGCGGTGGGGCGCGGCCTTCCCCCCCCCGGGGAGCCCCCGCCGTTCCCGAGAGGCCCTGACCTGTCGGTGTTTTTTTTTCTCCCCTCCGCAGGTTGACTCCTTCAGGGAGCGGATCACGAGTGAGGTGAGTGTCCCCACCGGAGGCAGGAAGAGGGGCTGTTTTGGATGTCAGCATCACTCACCCTCCCTGCAGGGAGAGGTCCCTGAGCCTCCCGGCTCTCCCTGCATCTCCTCGCCTGGGCTGAGGGTGGTTTCGGGCAGCAGGAAGGATCTGTGTTCTCCCCCGTTTCCTGCCTTTGGACGGGTGGTTTCCCCCGGTGTTCCTGCCTCAAGGCCTTGTTTCACGCCGCTGTCTCTTCTTTCTCTCTCAGGCTGAAGACCTCGTAGCAAACTTTTTCCCAAAGAAGCTGTTAGAACTCGATGGCTTCCTCAAGGTAGGGCGTGCCTTGTGCTCTGCATCCTTTTCCATTCCCCAGCAACGTGGCAGGTCTCATCCTGGCTGTGTTCTCTGCAGAGACACAGGGCAGCAGCTGGTGGCTCTGGAGGGGTGCTGCCTTTTTCAGTTTGCTCTGTGTGATCTCTCACTTTTATCTGTCCAAGGCTGTCCCTGGCAGCACCAGGGATGCCAGTGGCTGAGTCCAGCCCAGCCTGGCTCACTGATCCTGGGCTCAGGGAGCTCTGCTCTCAGCCTGTTGTTAGGCTGTTCCTTTTCATTCATCCTTATTTTTACAGCTGGATAAGGAGGTCTGAATCTTTTGTCTTCTCCTTGTGTTTGGTGTGGCAGAATTTGCTATTTCGTAATTAAATAACAAATCTGCTTTGTTTTCCAGGAGCCCATCCTGAATATTCATGATCTTACTCAGATCCATTCGGATATGAACCTGCCAGTGCCTGACCCAATTCTTCTCACCAACAGCCATGATGGACTGGATGGGGTAAGGTTACGCTCTTGGCTGTAATCCTGGTTTCTGTTAATTAAAACTGCATGGCTTGCTCTGTGCTGGGGTAGGATGTTCTTATTTAATAACAGGCCCTGGCTCTCCCAAAGGCTTTTAGGGGTTGGTCTCTCAAGCCTGGGAGGTCTGCTGGAGGTAACACTGTGCTTTGCAGTCCCCTTTTTGGCTAGAAGGCCAGGAGGCTCCAAAGTTTTCCCTTGTTTCCTTTGCAGCACTGTTATAACCTCACGACTAGTCTTGTGAGTAAAACGTTTTGTACATTTTGTGCATTTGTATGTTTTAGCCAAATATGAAAAAGAGG